AATGTTGTTATCAGCGTCCATGATATTTTTGTCAATTTTGAATAGTATCGCTTCATTATTCATTTTCCTCCTAAACATAAAAGATACCTTAARAGCCGTATTATTAATAATTGATTTKGTCAATTCCCAACAAAATGAATTCTTCATGAGAGAAATTAAGGTTACAAAAAMTCCTTGTTACCATAGCAACTTTGTTGGATTTCAACAATCTTGCGTAATTATATTGATATATGCAAAACTTGAAAATTCTGAAAGCAATCTTTTTTAATCTTGAAACGTTTGTTTATGTTGGGGTTGACAGATGCATTTTTACCGTTATAAAAGGGTAAACAAGATAATCTTTTAAGCCCATTTGTGTCAATGGTGTCACTCTCAATGCACACATGAATCAAGATATATACTTTTACTTACAAGAAGATTTTCTGGCTTCAAATCTCGATGAACGACGTTCTGCTTGTGCAAATAGTGCAGTGCTTTACACATGTCGCGAAAATAATCTTTTGCGACATTCTCCGAGAACTTCACGGAGGCYGAGATAGCATCGAAGAGATCCCCTCCCTTGACGAACTCCATAACGAGAAACATTTCCGTGGCAGTGTCGTAGTCTTCGAAGAGACGGACGATGTTCGGATGTCGGCATTTCCTCATGATGGCAATCTCGTCATCAATCATTTTTTCTTTGCCTGCGATTTTTCTCTTGTCGATGATTTTCAGAGCAAATTCTTTTTTGGTGGCTTTGCTGGTACATTGTCTAACAACAGCAAAGTTTCCATCTCCGATCTTTTTTCCTATAATGTACACATCTTCAACCTTTTTATCTGTCACCCTTCCATACTCCACTTCCTGTTCTTGTTGAGTAGAGCCTTTCGAAACTCGCTTGTGTGGTTTTTCTTCAGCATCTTCGTGCGYGGCTTCATGRGACTCAATAATATTGCCATCTCCCTCACCTGCTCCAGACGYATTTTTCGCGGTGCTATCTTTCTTATTTTTACTTGTTTTCCTTGTTCGCTGTTCTTGATTTTCGTTTGTTTTAGATACCAAGTTATGTCCGCCATCAATGGCTGGCAGCTTGACACTATTTGAGTTTTGTTCATGGCTTTTTTCGACGGGTTTGTTTTCTTTAGCGAAATATTGGTTTTGTTTGTTGCTYGCAGGCTTACGAMTTGTCCTTGGAGTTGACATTGAGGACTTATTAGTCGCATTATGCTGTCCTTTGTTCTTGCTCAAGTAATTATTGCTATCACTATTATTTTTATCGATCRTATCTTGTATTTTGGGTAGAGTATTATTATCTTTATTGGCGTGAGGTCTTATGTTTTCTTTGACTTTCCGATAATTGTCTTGCTTTTCTTGTTTGTCCATACCATCGTTGCTATAAACTCTGTGGTGATGTTTCGAAGTTTTCTTCGATGCTTTATGCATATTATCACGCTCGGCACTTAAAATTGCTTCAATATCATCAACGCGAAATCTTTCATTCCCTACGGCAATAAATACTCCTTCTTCGTCGTTAAACAAATCAGACACTTCATAAATTTGCTTCCYTTTCGAAGTGTATAATTTTCGAACGTTTGAGCTACCAGTAACTCCAAGAGAATCATTGACTGAATCAAGGAATTGATTAACCGTTATTGCCGTCCTTTTATTTAGCAAAACACGACAAGAAAGCCTTGGTTTGTTKCCATTACGAATGATTGTCACATTACGAGCTTTAAAGTTTAGTTTACCGTCGAGTTTAGGGAYGTCAGGTCTGCGTTCTTTCGTTTCTACGCGACGASTAGGTTTCACTACTGCACGAGGAGCCTGTGTRCCRGGTTGTGTGSCGACTCGTGGCGGATTTGTCAAGGCAGGAAGCTCCAGTTTATTCCGTGAACTCCATTGAGGCAAATTCCCGTCTTTCTTTCCGTATTCCAGCCTTTTAAGTTTCGAATGAGAAGCGCAAACGTAAGCTTTTCCGTCTTGAAGCTGTTCCAGAGCTTCGATTTTGCTTCCACTCTCTCGGTCCAGCAGAAATCGTACACCTTGTGGTAGGTTCGTCACTCGAGACAATTCTGACAGTAGCACTTCAAAGCTTCGGAACCTCCTCGGAGTGATTGTCACGCTATATCCTTTAAAATAAATGTCTCCATTCTTATAAAAAGTGACGAGTATCGACTCTTTTTTCTTGTCGTGTTCGCCAGAGTACCGTGAAGTGTGACGAATGTCCGAAGCCATTTCTAGATTTATCGCATCTTCGTAGAACTCTGATCTCCTACAACGTCTGGTACAGATGGCAGCTTGAAAAATTATAAGTCAAAAGTAATTCATTTGGTCGAGAATTGAATCGGAAGCATGGCAATTAACTTGAAGATGTTTCTTGACTATCTTCTATTTTTACTACCGGCCAGCCAACGACGACTTGGAGTTCACTTTAGCTTTATAATCAAGGAGATTTGCAATTTTCTACGATATGCCATCAGCCAATATTACAATCAGTGCTTTACCTTGTRATTGAAGTATAATATACCTTGAAAACAGTCCTGATCTAGCTCTGTACACAGACTAAATGCGAGTTTACTTTACCATACGAGAATGTAAAATACGGTCATTCGCATCAGCGGTCATGATGTTTTGGAACAGTTGTCATGGTGATCTAGACTAAAACGATACCATGTTTGCTCAACCTTAACCTAGATTTTTGAAAACTCTGTTATCTGAGTAAGCTTAGTTTAATTTTCCTAATGATAACCAAACATCGAGCGTTTTTATTAGACCGAATAAAAAAAACTTATATTATGAAATAAGGTTTCATAAAACTTCGTGTTTGGGGTACAAAGCCRGCTATATAATGACCAATAATGGTCCAGTAGCTCTATAAGCTTTGTAATTGCCTTGCTTGCGTGAAAACTATCTAAAACAAAGAAAATGTGATAGTGAGAACACATGCAAATTGAAATCGTTATTGAAAACGATAATCTCTGCTAACAATTCAGAACGCCTTCTAGTGTGKCCAATACCATGGCCTGACGTAAATCATAGACAATGGCTGAGCACAGCTGCGCGGTCGGTTTGGCAGYGATATGTTTACAAATTGGACAGCGGATTAGAGGAACATATCAAATAAATGAATCTGCATTTACTTTCAGTGCAYAACTGCTGTCAGATTATTGAATAAKKGAAATCCAGGGGTCATGATTTTGTCTGGCTTACTTCGGACAGGTGTCCCTTTGGAAACTTAGCAGAATTACTTATGAAGGGAATTTTTGTTATTGGAGTTTCACGAGAGATTTAGTAATCGTTTATATTTTCGGTTGATACTATCCATTTATTCCTCTCTTGCTTATCACGGGAAATAAACTTAATCATTATATGAAAGCAACCCCCGGGGAGGGTCGGGGAATTAAAAAATTATAATTATAGCCGGGGACTTAACACTGTTTTAACAGCACAATCAACGTTAACGCATGGAAATTAACGTTGAATCAAAGCATATGATCACTAGCCGACTAAAATTGACTTGGATGAAGAGACGGTCTCTTCTTAATAGAGGGCCTATCATTATAGCTAGGGGGTTATCATACTGCAATGTCATAAAAATTGAAAAATTGGCGATTTTCCGCAACCGGGGGATATTTCCACAACCGTAAAACGCCACATGACAGCAATTCATTTCTGTTCAGTAGTCATCAAACCTTACAAAAAACTGGTATGTACATGTAACTTGACGACTTTAAGACTTTAGGTTGAAGAGTTTTAAGATACGGTGATCATGTATTTATAGCTCCCATCAATCCCAAAACTTTGATTTAAAACGAGAACTGAAATGGGGGATGTCATGTGTAGGTAACTTAATGGTGTATTTTCACTATCCTCCCTAAGACATGTATACGAACCTGCCCTCATACCTGAACTATCATTGAATGTTAAGGCGATATTTAATGTTTTTGATTGACAACGTTGGTCACGTGACCTATTTTGCATGATATTGCTAACTTCGGTTAGGCCTCACTTTTGAAGTGTCCTGGATCCGCTATTTGCTAACACAAGTATCCCGGCAACACATGTATATGTGTAGATGTTGCATCCCTTTTTTGGACTGATCATGCTCGAGTCTTTGGCAAGTCTCATGTGATGTGTGCTCCATTCGAGACCGCTACGGACGTGATGCATAATACAGATGCCCGACTATATGTGGACAGAGTCTACTAGGTATTGTAAATCATGTACTGTCTAAGCGACGAGTCTAAAACAGTTTTATAAAGCTGCTGGTTTGATTTATTTCAATAACAACAATTCTTTGCAGGCGAAGGCAGGGAAAATGGGTTAAATAACGCATAGAAAAACTGTTTCTTATAGGCGAGCTTGCCAGAAGAAAAGGACACACACATCGAATGGTTCAAGGAAAAAACGAGAAGAGAGAGAAACAAAACAATAAAAGTACCTCGTTTCCAGGGCCTTATTCCTTCGGTTGAACTTAGGTCCGATAAGGGCCTGGTAACGAGGTTAAGATAATGGACATGATGCTTTGAAAGAGAGCACAATTCATCGTTTGTCGTTGACTCTTGTGTGATATGTGCGGTCCAACAGTGTAGTGACAGACTCTATCAACTTGGTATTGAATTCAAACACTTCATGACTTCTGGTTGTGTCCATCGTTTGGTTGACCATGTTTTCTAAGGCAACTCTTAAAGACTGTAAAGTGTTAGCAGCTCTAGGTGAACACAGGAAACCCATCCATCGATCTCCATCAACAGCAAGAGTCACGTGACTTGACTGGGCTGACTGTGCTTCTAAAATNAGAGTCTCTTATAAACACTTGCGTAGATTTGACCTGAAGAAAGAAGCCATAGTGAGTCTTATTAGGCACTACACATTATCTATTATTGGAGGATTAAATACAGAACTTCACATTATAAACATTTCCATTTCGATCCAGCTTTCATTTCCGCGTATACTGAGGCTAGAAATGCAAAGAAGTGCGGATTTAATTTCGTGTTTATGGAGTTTATTCGTGGTTATGAAGTTTAATGCTGAGCGAGTTTRAGAAGATGAAAAGCACATGTAGAGTTTGACATATACTAAAGATAAATTCCAATCACTCATTATTGTTACAAAATAACATAAAGCGAGACTTTTGCATTTTTTTTGAGTGTGCATGGAAGCCATCAATAGCCTATTTGCATCCCAGAACCTTGCTGCGACGATTGGTATCTGTTGTTGAAAGTTGTTTTCTGATTGGTTCACAATCAAAGATCAATGATCAATGATCGCGCAAAGGTTCCTGGATGCACTTCAGCCATTAAGTACCTTTTCGTAATATATAAGCCATTTTGTATTAAAATTCTTCTTATCCACATTGACAGATGACGGATGGATAGCTACCCGGCCATCATTCCTAGTAAATGTAACATAAGTTATTTTTTTTAATAATTTCTCTCAAAAGTTCTTAAAATTTATGCTACGAATGAATTATGACTAAGAAAATCTCACTCTTACAATTAATCTCAATATAATAGTCTTCTTCACGGTTTCCTGCGCCATATTGAAAGGTAGCCGTGCCTTTACATCGAAGCGAGACGGCCGTTGAGCGTGCAATGATAGCAACCTTCTTTCRCACSTACAGACAATTATTCACAGGTATCTATCATTGCACGCTTAACGGTTGTCTCGCTACGATGTAAAGGTACAGCTAGCTTTCAAGATGGCGCAGGTAACCGTGAAGGAGAYTATTAWACTGAAACTTTATAAAGAGACGGTCTCTTCCTCAACAAAGAGGGCCTACTATTGGGGGCTATCATACTACAAAACTGCACATAAAACTGCATTAAAAATTACTTTGTTCTAAGTGTAGTCTTGAGTCTCTTYTTCCCACATCGTCCCTTTGATTCAAGACCAAGACCAACTTTAATAACATTAGGATATAAGCCTGCACATAGTACTGCTCGCACTAGACCCAGGTTCCTGGAGTACATGTTAGTTACAAGATTGGTGTCATCATTAGGTACTAG